TTAGAAAAATCTTTAATAGATACACTTTTCTCAGACTTCTTCTGCCTTTTCTCCTATTTTCCTTTTCTGTTTTTGGTAGTTCTATTTTAAGTAATTCAGTTTAAATTTTGGAGTTCTGAACTGGAGATGGAAAGATCTGCTTTATGTTTTGTTTTCTTATGGATTAGCTTTGCATCCATTTGAAATGTTAAATGGCAGGCAGGCAGGCAGTTTCTTAAACTGGTTAGGTTGATGAATTTAATTTGCATTAAGAAAAAGGAAGTGGATTCAGATTTTAGCTCTTGTGAAGCCTTCATCTTCCAAATTGGAAGCTTATATGCTGTTATTAAAATTTCAGGTCGACTAGGCATAGTTTCACAATCACGATTTTTACACGAAAGGCCTGCTACAGTTCACGTGCCCCATGGCAACTGGTGCACTCTAAAAACATCGCATGTCTCTGGCTTGGTGGCTGGTGGGAAGCCCAATTCTTCTCTAATATCATGTATGAAGACATGGAAATCTACTGTGACGGCCAAATCCGGTGGTGAGTTTATTATATCTACTCTAGTTTAAGTTTAAGCAATCTTTCCAGTTCTTTCTTTTTTTTTTCCTTTTTGGGAGAAATGCAACGATTGACTGTAATTGAAGTGTGACACTGTGCTATTGATAAACCTCTATCACATTGGTTTTTGTTGTATTCAATGCAAAATTAAACTTCTCTGGCATTAGATCAACAGCTGAATATCTACCAACTTAATGTGTTCACCACTTAATTCACTTCCTGGAGGTGCTCTTTTTCTGAACTTCATTAGGCTGTTGTTTAGTTTCTATTATGTTTGTGATTATCTCTTGATCAATATTGATTGGAATTTATCTTGGTGTTCGTTTGATATATTGGACTGAAAATGTTGGCTTTACTCTGATTCTAGTTGATGCTTAATTTGCTTATTTCTTATTTTCAAATTTATCAAGAATTGATGCTAGAGGTCTGTGACGAGACAGATATATTGCTGAGCTGAAAATGAAGGTTGATTCTTTTACCCTTGTTATTGACTGATTTGCTTGACCTTTTGGAAGACATAATTTCTTCATAGTTCACTTAGAAATTCCTTAAATTTTCTATATTAGAATTTATTTATTTATCATGAGTAATAAAAGTTTAAATACCAATTAGATTTTTAGGTGTAAAGCCTTGCAAGTGCCCAGCTTTGGGTTCTTATCATTTTGTATGTATTGTCGTTTGATATGGTGCTTTAGCTTGTTTGCTATTTGTTATTTCATGACAGATTGGAGACTTTGAGATGCATCTGAAACAGAATGTTGGGGCAACAAAAGCACCTTTGTCCAATATTCCCCCACGACAGCACCACCTATTCCAACTAAACCTATGAATGAATTAGCTCCTGTAGCAGCTGCTGTTGCCCCATCACCTCCTCCACCACCAAAATCCTCTCCAGAAAAAACCACTCCATTTACAAAGGTCTTCTTTGGGAAGTCATCAAAGTTAGTAACTACGTCCTAGTATCTTCTCCAGTGGTATGTGATGCTCATAGAGTGTAAGGATCCATTTTTCTAAAATTGCAAATCCTTTTTGTGCAGATTGACTGGTAGAGCGAGCTAGCTACAACCAATTGTTGATGAGGTAAATAAAGCCAAGCCAATCCTCAATGTTACTAATACTTCATTCATTTCTTGGATTCATCAGCTGTATATACTATTTATTATCCACCTGAAAATTATTTTCCTCTGAGAACATGCATGCATTCACTTGCCTTAAAAATGGCTTACGCTTTCAGGTTATTTCGAAGGGAATGAGTGGTTAGCCTTGGCATCACAGGAATTCACAATCACCAATGAGCTTGCAAAATGATGTTCTTAGGCAAGCCAACCAATTTTAATTTTAAGTTCAATATTACAGGACCTCATGCTCTCCATTCTGAAGAATTGGGAAGACTTTTGAAACAAGCAGGTGCTGATGTTCAAATGAGATTTTTCTATAAGCTGGAACTGGAACGTAGATGACCTTTTCCAAATTAAACAAGCTTGTAAGTTGGAACTGAAACACAGATGGCCTTTGCTGAATTATATAAGCTTGTAATCTGACTAAATCAAGCTGTAGTTTTACAAGTTTTTAATTTGGAAAAGCAGATCTTATCCTGTAAGTATCCAAATTACCTCTTCAAAATTTTATTGTGAAGCCTATTTGCTTTGCTGTTGTCATTGTTTAGAACAGGGAATCAAATTTTGATATATCAGGCTATCTCTACAATTCATTTTACTTGAGCAAAATTATACATTTTGATGATATACTAGTATATCTGTCTGCTATCTAGCTACCTCAGAATTAAATGATTATTTCCCATTACTCCCTTCTCTTGATTAATATATATATTGGTTGCATTAAAGATTGACTAATTTCTATCATTTATTTTGCAATTTTTTAAATTTCTTTCCAGATAATATAGATTTCTATAGCTTTGTGTTATTATTTTACTTTGATTTCATTTCTGCAGTGCACTTATCCCTCTTTCTTTTTTATGTTACAATTGATGCTTTCTGTGTGCCCTAAATTCAGTTTAGCCTTTGATTTTTCTATTTTCCCATTCTTTTTTAATGTTCCCTATTGCTTGTGCAGAGGATATAGCAAAATCTTGTTAGGCCTCTATAGGATCCCTTTGTTTTGTGACTTGCTTTTTCCTTTTATGTGCTAGAAGTTATCTTCTTATCTCACATTTCCCATAATTTTAGGGACTGGTTTCCTACAAACTGTATAACATCCAACTTAGTTCATGTCTTGAATCTTCTAGCATCTTATTAAACCCTTTACCTTTTTCAAGTCAACTACAGGATTAGTTAGAAGGTGATTGATCCTAGATTACAAGTTCAAGCCTCCCTTTTT